ACCCGGCGTGCTCCGTCCCGGCTTTGTAGGGATGCGAGGTCAATGGTCTAACGACTACGGCATGCACGACTATGAGTACACCCCCCCCCGGTTGTCGATCGGTGCGAACCAAACAACGAATTCCCCGCGCTCGCAAGCACTTAGTCGTGTAGTCAAGCAGCGTTGTGGCGGTGATGGTGGCGGTGGTGCACTATGATTTTACGAAATATCGCCACCATTAGTGGTTGAACTATTCCTATCGTGTGCCCGATGTTGGAAATAGCTTTTTGACATGGTCGGCTCTGTATGAATTGATTAAAGTTTTGTTCTCTAATAAGTTCCGTTGCGTCCAGGCAGAGAGACGAAGAAACAAACCAGCGAAAATCGACGTGTGTGTGTACAGTCTGAGCCCATTGGCACGCGTTCAACGGACAAGAATGACTGCGGGTACTTTTTGTAGACTATAGGCTCACTCGAAGACTGGTTTTGCTATATAGTACTCACAGGGTAGGCTAGAGATCTTTGCACCCTTGCAATATCAGAAAACGTGGTGCCATAGTGCGCCATCCTGTGAACCTGTGATAAAGGTGGAAGTTTGAGGTCGTTGGCGGCGGTGGCGTGGTCAAGTAGGCCTAGGTGATCGATGAATCTCACGGAACGAAGCGCCTCTCTCGGTCCTCTTTTGTGTCTTGCTACGTGATGGGCAGCGATCACCTAACAGGAACGTCTTTCCTCGAGGTTGTTACCGCGATAGTCACAGCAGCACCAGACTTGATCGTCTATCGTCAATCCTGCTGTGCGTAGTTTCCACCTTGTCACCCCCCCTGTCCCGAAAAGGCACCCGGGGACATTTCGACTCAAGCGCACGATTTTCACCCGGGGTGCGAGAAGGGCACGTCGCTAGCGGCGAGAGTCCTTGCCTCCACAATGTGATTGATTGCTGCCGTCCCTCCTCTCTGCCTGTGTGTAGTAGGCAGTATTCGCGCCAGCACACTGATTTACGTGCCCTTATTATCCCATATGTTGTGTGTCAGTCGCTTGTGGTATCATCCTGCTGGTGATATTGCAATGTCTCCTGTCCGGTGAGGAGCTTTGTCCGGGGGGTATATAGAAGATTAAGTCTGGGGGCAAACCTTCAAATTTACCACACATAGGAGTCACCTATTACGTTTCTGTCTATCCCACACAGCCTTCTGGCTCTAAGTGAACAACGCCGAAAAAACATTTCAGGCCCAGAATAATTCTCCCGTGGTGCATACCTCCATTTTTCTACTGACACGATTCAGTCTTTCTTTCATACAGTTAGCGCTTTTCCCCTGCTACGTCGATAGTTATTGTGTACTCGAGAACTGACCTAATAGTGCTTTCTAGAATGGTGTTACACCTAAGTTCAACCAACTGGTCGCATATGATACCTCTAGACCAGCGGGCACCCCAAACAATGCACATAAATACCATGAAAACAATGTTCCTTGCCCTGTTCCGGCGTTCAGGCCCGCGGCGTAGACAAACTACTGTACTTGGCACCCACGTAGATTCACTCACCTCAAAACCTACCCGAACATAAATTTGATAAGCTGTGCGGGGAAGTAAGTGCTCGTTCCCTGTCCTACGTTTCTCAAGAGGGCGCCAACTAACAAACAACATGGCAAGCCTTCAACATTGACACCGAAGTGTCCAGTTGGCTATACCTTTCTCACTGGCGTGGGAGGGTGGCATCACACCTCTCCAACTGCTGTGGGTGAAACCGAGGTGTCTTTCGGAACACCCCTGGTCGTCGCCGAACACAAGCAACGCATCCCGTTGCCCGATGAGCCACTACGGGTTGGGAGAAATCTTAAGCTGTCCTGTCGAGGGCTCTCTCTTCGTAGCTTCGCGTGCATGTACCCTTAAACAACGTTGTATTATAGGCGTATGTACTTGTATTGTGTGCGATCCTACATTCGAACATGCAAACGGACGTTCCTATGTCAAGCCACCTTCCTCTCCTCTCTGTACAGCAAAGGTCTCTTCGTCACTCTCCGAGGAGCCAGGAGAAAGCGTCCTGACATCACCAACGCCGTCGTCATTCACCGCCCCCGAGTCCTCGAAACTCGTGTCCACGCCAGACCCCGCCGTCTCGCCGCAGCCCCCGCAAAAAAGTATCCGCCACAGTGGATGGAGCCGGCCCATTCCTTCAAACATGGTGTAATCGATGCGACGCTCCAGCCCCGTGCCACGACCGCCGTTGTTGTCACTACCCCGACGATTGCTGCTACCTCCATCGCTTCCACCCTCGGAAGCACGGCCCGCGGTGTAGGAGGCTGGTCGCAGAGTCCCGGCTGAAACTCGCGCGACTGCTGCCGCCACGGCGCCGCTGTTGTACCTCGTGCCGTGAAGGCGTAGAAGCTCTCTCTGCAGCTCGACGCTCACGGCCTGCTCCTGCTGCGCTCGCCGCTGAAGCACCTCAAGCGCGCGCTTTGTCGTCTCGAGCTCTGCCTGCAGCTCGTCTACCCGCGCTCGGAGAAGCGGGTTGGACCTGTGTTCATCGACTCGACGTCCATCTTCATCCATGCTGCCGATTTTCTCACGACCGTTCCCACCTTCTTCGCCGACAGCGTCTTCATCTCGAGATGTATCTCTGCCTCTATCGCTGCCGCTGTCGTCGTCCGACGAACACACACCGCGGCGATGCCCGGCACCACCGTCGTGCTCGTACGACGCCGCAGCTTTATCGCTCCACCGGAATTCTGTCCCCGCGGCCCGCGTCGTAGCCTTCGCCTCGAGCCGGAGCTGAGCGATCTGCGCGCGGAGGGCTTCGATCAGCTCGGCTTGCTCTTGGGCGTCTCTGAACATTGACGACGACCGGCACCTAAACGACCTCGACGACGCTATCGATTCGATAGACTGTTTTCTCCTGTGAGTCCCTTCACCACCACCACCACCCGACTCGCGCCTCGCTCGGCAACCTGGTGGCCCTCCATCACCCGTCTCTTCCGGCTGCAGGCCGTCTTGTTCTCCTGCGTGGCATGCTTCTGTCTCGTCGAATGGTGCCCCCTCCTCCTGGACGCCGGAGCTACTGCTGGAGAAAAACGACCTTGGTTGCCGATCTCCCTCTGCTTCATCTTCCTCCTGACCATCGTTCGGAGCGCCCCAACCAGCGCGTACTTGCCGGTGCTCTTCTCCATCATCCCCGATGGCTTCGTTCATTACCCGGTCCAGTGCCGCTTCTTTCTGTGTCGTCGAGGTGCGTCTGAGAGCGGTGGCCTCGAGACGGGACTCCGTGAGCTCTTCTCTCAGGGAGGTGTTGGCTTCCTCCAGGCCCTCGACCGCCCGGCGCAGGCGGCCGATCTCTTCCCGGTCTTGCTCGTGCCTTGCGGCATCCTCGGCGGCGTCAGGGGAGTTCTCGAGGACGGGAGAGAGCGGCCGATCGTCGGAGAGCGAGGAGCGGGCGCCGGTCCTGGCGTGGGCTGCTGGGGACCACAGATCAAGATATTCAACCTGAGGTTCTTCAGCTGCCGACAAGAACAGGTGTCCCTTTGTCGATGACGTACCTGGGGGGAGGGGGGGAGGGGCAGGGTTGGAGGGGTGCACGGTAAGGATTTCTGTACATCTCAGGAGGACATTCATGCGTTTCTTTGTAAACGATACGCATCTCGAACACCACGCAGAGTAAACAAAGCGGATCCCACGTAAGGCAACTACCGCCGCGTCTAAATATATTTTGCTTGTGAGCCTCATTTCCGCTGACGATCTAGACGTGGGCTTGAAATAGTACGTACGTGGGAGGGCCTCGGTCGTTGTATCTTGTTGCATCTGCTCACAACGTTGGGTGGCGCTGTCCAGATCTCTCCGGAGCGCGTCCTTTTCGCACTCCGCCAGCCACTTTTCCTCTCGCACCGCCTGCATGAGCCCGCGAAACGCATTCGCCAACTAAGTCCAGGGTGACAGTGGCTATGAGAAATCAAAGGTGGAAAAAGAAATTATGCGGTTTGATTCGGCATCAGATCGGGGTACCAAAACGGGAACTGGTGGCGCGAACGTACGGCGAGATGCGCCACCAGTTCCATCTCTATAACTACGTCCCATCATGCATACGAATTTGAACCGTTCCGGGGGACTACTTAGAATGCGCTTTGGGGACGCCAGTGGGGTTGAAGATTTGTAGAGCTACACCAATGAAAGTGCCATTGGTCCCACGAAACCGTTGCTACTCTTGAGTCGTGATGCTTAGAGCGAAGCCGAATGTAAACACAACCAAGGCACCAACTGGTGTGCGCTTGGTTCACTCGCCTCAAGACTAGCCGAGAGTTCTTCGACTCTGTCTAGAAGCCTTTGTCCGATCAATGCTGCTGTTTCCAGGTCCTCCCGCTGGCGTTGTACCAACTCGCGCAACGCGACAACCTCCGTTGGGTCATCTTCATTCTTCTCGCCAACGCCTTTCGTAGACGCCCTGCTGCGGCATCCATCGCCCAAATTCAAAACTTCGGGAACGTCCAACTCATGTACAGATACGGCACGACCTGATCGCTCCGCCACCGGAACATCAACTGCGATAGTGTCCTGGTGGGAGGGTATCATCTTCCACACGCACTTGGGTGCTTCAGAATTTGAAACTTGGTCAGGTACTGAGACGGATCTGAGAAAGCATGAACAGCCGGGACCAGGAGCAAGGCTTCAGATGGTACATTTGCAAGCATGACTCCTTGTTCGCAACCAGCCTGTGTCACTTGCAGACCTCTGCAAGGGTGCTATGGCTCATAGGTATACGTACCCGGCCTTCTTGATGTGAGTGATGATTACGATGATTACCCTTTGTTCACCACGTACCACCACGTACGAGCCGCCCACGCCTCCTGCTGCTGCGCAGTATCTCTCACACCTTTTTTTGCCGTCGTTTTTTTGCGACTCGATTCGCCGACTCGCATCTTGGCACATATCCATGAAGGACGATCTTCGAGTTGACGACGTACCGATCGGATGGGTACCTTTCGATCCTACCAACTTATCCTCCATGAGTGCACGGGATATTCCGCAAGATGTAGCAAAACTTTGAGCCGTTTTGGTATTGTGCGACTCCTCTGCCTCGCCGACGAGGATGGTGCGCGACGCGCTGGTCAGGATACGCGTGGATGGATACTGGCGCTGTTCGCAGCGGGGGAGCTTTCGGCGCTAGGCATTCGGCCAAATCGGGGGCTTGTCCAGGCCGTGTGGTTACAATATTTGAATGCGTGCAGCTCCACATGCGTCAGAGCGAGAGGCAGAGGCGAGTGAGCGAATGATGACTCACGTGAGCGATCGGTTTTGCACGAACCGGCACTGGTTAGGCCGTCGCTTACGTTCCAAAATCCAAAACGCTCACGTTCCATCGCACACGTGCAGGTGCACACACCGGCCCACACAACCCCGCGGATCCTTGTGGTATCTTTTGACAATTGCATCTGGCGGCTCTTTTGGTGGCGCTACTGCCTCCTGACGTACCCATGGCCTCTTTTCCTCCTCGCCCCCCCACTCCACCCCGGCCTCGTTCTCCTAGCGAACCCTGCGAGGATGAAGGCTGGAGCACCGAGCGCATTCACTCGTTGGGATCGGAGCTGCTTGCGCGTTGTACCGAAAAATATAAGAGCATCACCCGCAGCAGTGATCATGTGGGGGCACCTTACGTCATCCTCGGCGCCATGGCCATGGCGGCCTTTGCTGCGCTCGGACTTGTGGCTGCCCTCCCAACGAAGGGTCGAGGAGTTTTGGTAAATTTTGGGGGGTTTCTTCTGCCCGCCCTGTCAAATATTGGTGAAATCGAAAAAAAGGCCGACAAGCCGCTCTTCACTGGATACTGGGTGAGCAGGGTCAATGTCCATTCGAACTTGCTTGTAACGAAGGTTTCTGGAGGAAGAGGTGGCTAACCCTTGTGCTTCGTATTTACTCGCAATCGGGGAGTCCTGTGTGTGTGGCGGTGTAACTCTCTCGTGGCATAGTCTAGTCGGAGAGGCTACAACAGGACCTGTGCAAGTGTATGTAGTCTATATCCTGTAAGCTAGACTACCGTATGTTGACCCCATTTGGTACTCTTGGACACAGCGCAACAGGGTGGGGGGATGCTGATGTCGACGAATAAACATGAAGGTAGGAAGTGACCGGGGAGTCCTGTGTGTGTGGCGGTGTAACTCTCTCGTGGCATAGTCTAGTCGGAGAGTCTACAACAGGACCTGTGCAAGTGTATGTAGTCTATCTCCTGTAGGCTAGACTACTACCGTATGACCCAATTTGGTACTCTTGGACACAGGGCAACAGGGTGGGGGGATGCTGATGTCGACGAATAAACATGAAGGTAGGAAGTGACAGCTCTCCATCCGTATCGATCTTCCTCTACATAGAGTCTGTAGACTGCCGAGTAACAATAGTAATAATATTCATGTAGAGTATGAGACATTAAGTGAAAGTTTGCTGAGGCACATCGGCAATTAATTGTCGGAAGGCAAAAAAAAAATGTAATAATAATAGCGAAATACATGTACCGTAGCCACTGCTGTCGAGACTGCCACAGTCTTCTTCCAAGCCATGTGGCAGATCTCTCCAGAGAGTGTTTTCGTAAAGAAATGCAATCCGATCGGCTTCGATACTCCATCTACCAGCAAGCCGGTTGGCTTCGACTACCAAAAGTCAAATAGGTCCAAGACGTACACCCACAGGAGGTGCTGACCCTCCGCGTACACGTTTTTTTCGAACCAGAGAAGAAATATAGGAGCCGTCATGATTTGCTGGCATAGACTACATGCGGAAGAAGGCAAATATTAACGTGTCATCCCTCCATGACCTACTACGCTACTGCTGTGCGTGCGCTCTCAATTTCTCATGTTCATGCTCTTGATGCAGGTTGTGTTTGGGCTATTTGTATTACTCGACGGGGTCTTGCCGGCGATCACTCCCTGCTACTTCTCCACCAAGGCCTGCGTGCTCATCTGGGCTTTCTCGTCCGCGCGCCCGTACGGTGGTCGGCCGGTTCTCAACTGTGCTTTCGGTATTAACGACGGCAACGACAGCGATCACAAAGACGCAATGGTCATAAAAGCGTTGAGGCCCTGGGAAGAAGTGGCGACCGAAAAGGGAATTTCACGTAAAGCTTTCCGTCTAGCGGCCATCATTACCACCGTCACGGCTGGAACGGTTGTTCTGGGGATCTGCTACTTTTTCGTCCTCACAGTTGAAGGCCTTTACGCCGGCCTGTCGACCTCGACCCAGGCAAGGATTTGCGTTCTCGCCGGAGCTTGCTGGCCCCTGTACGCGACCTTGGTCGGTCGAGCCCGGAGCGAAGCCGCCGCCGTGGCCGAAGGAAGCGGCGGTACCGAAGGAGCCGAGAAAAAAAGGCAAGGGCCTGCAGCCGTGCAGTGGCTATCCTATTGGCCGATGTTTGCGCTTTTTCTGGCAGTCCTTGACCCAGCGATGGGGTGGTTGCCCCACTTCTACTCTTTCAAAATGGCGGCACTCGCGTTCCTAGCCCTACCTCAGACGCGTGGGGCTTACGTAATCACGTCGCTTGTCCTGTACGGCAACGATCGGAGCACCGTTGGCAGCGGTGGTGGTGATGGGGCTTCGTTCCGTGGGGGACACGGGGAGCATAAGGTCAGTTGCGGTGCTCCCGCTGTTGTCGCCGTTGATTGAGAAGGAAGGAGGGCCGACTCTGTTGTTGTGTGCCCATGCAAATAAGAGTACGGTATGTCGACAGCATGACAGAGCTAGCTAGGTGGATCCCCTCGCTCGATCTGTTTGCGAAAAGGCTTCGGCACTAGTGTAAAAGGGGTGACATTGCCGTGCGTGTGATATTTGGAGATATTAGCTTCGCATCTTACGCGCGAGCTTTGTTTTGTTTGTGAAAGGAAACTGCGATACGTTCCTGTTCGACGCTTTGACACAGCAACAGAACTTGGTTTTCGATATAAACCCTGTGCCTTGGTGCTTAACGGCGGCTGCACTAAGCACCAAGACTGGAGAGAGGTCGACAGCGATGCCGTAGCTTGCATATGAGCTCCACAGCACTACACAGCAGGCAATGATGGCACCCAACAGCGTGTGCTGCTGAACCAATAAACAAGCTCAATTCATTGCGCCCGTTTCGTGATTTAATCGCGATGCACTAGACTACACCAGACTCCGCTCGGGAGGGGGCTGCTTCATGCGGTGCCCAACTTTGCACCCAAAACCAAGCAACACTACCGGTCGCCCCGGTGGTCTAGTGCTATCGTAATCCGCTAGTCGCAGAGGTCGTGAGTTCGAATCCCCAAGGAGTGAAGAATTTACGAAATTTGCGGCTGAAAGCGAAATATAGCGAAAAAGCTCTCTTGAGTACCAAACTTCGACGTTAGCACCGTTGACAAGGGAAAGGGACGGCTGGACCCTTCTCGCGATAAAAACAAAAATCAGCACCCACCGCAGGAGGAAGGTGGGGCACGAAAAGAATTAAAAAGAAGAAAAAAGCCGTGGTGTTTACCCTCTCCTGTGTGACCCTGGATGGTTGTAGTTGTACGAAAAAATACACTGAAAAAGTATGGTACTCTACATAGGCTGAAAAGTGTAGTACACGTGTCACCACGAAAAATGGGGGGACTGTCGCCATAATAAATAGGACGAAAACACACACACACAACGTTTCACTTTGACACGGGGCGGACCGCACGCCATCTTCGCACCAGAGGGTTGCTAGAAGCCGTATTCACCAATTTCGGAGCGCTGCTCTTTGCTACTCGTGGCACAGAGCACGCCCCTGGCTTCGCTCGAACTAGCCAGGACCGTGCGTATAAAAATTGAATCCCTAAAAGCTGGCGTAACTGCTTCAACACTAAGTACAAGTACGTACACCGTCATTCGGTGTGACATTTTTCGAGTCCAGTACTTCACATCCCAAGTGCGCATCGCGGCAGCACTCTCGCTTCTTCCTCCCGATTCCTCACTACAGTATGCTGCGATGCCCTCATATGCAAGACAAGGCACGTCAGAGGAATTCCTAACATCTCAAAATTGGCAGGCTTTCAGTCTCAGGAAATACATCACTTGTGTGTGTGCGTGTGTTTTCGTCCTATGTATTATGGCGACAGCAGTCCCCCCATTTTTCGTGGTGACACGTGTACTACACTTTTCAGCGTATGTAGAGTCCTACACTTTTTCAGTGTATTTTTTCGTACAACTACAACCATCCAGGGTCACACAGGAGGGGGTCTTTTTTCTTCCTTTTAATTCTTTTCATGCCCCACCTTCCTCCTGCGGTGGGTGCTGACTTTTATTTTTTTATCGCGAGAAGGGTCCAGCCGTCCCTTTCCCTCGTCAACGGTGCTAACGTCGAAGTTTGGTACTCACGAGAGCTTTTTCGCTATATTTCGCTTTCAGCCGCAATTTCGTAATTTTTTCACCCCATGGGGATTCGAACTCACGACCTCTGCGACTAACGGATTACGAGGATACCACTAGACCACCGGGGCGACAGTGTCATGCATACAGAGACATAGCAACCTTCACGCTCGCGTAGCTACCCCCGCGCCGTCGCGTTCCCTCAACTCGAAACCTTTCGTCGGCCTACGCTTTTCAACCGCGACATTACGGCCCCCCTTACACGCAACGTCTTCGGGTCAGAGGGGTCTATCGAATTGACAAGGAGTGCCAAAAACGCCTCCTCCTCCGATTCGTCGTCGTCAACCGGCCCCAATCCACGGCTCAAATCGATATCCAGTCCCGTTGTCGGCGGGGGTGGGGAGAAAGGCGGTAATGACGACGATGCTTCGCCAGGTGTATCGGCAGCAGTAGCAGCAGCAGCAGCAGCAGCAGCAGCAGCAGCAGCAGCAGCAGCAGCAGCAGCAGAAGCAGTGGATGAAGTGGCATACATGGCCCTCGGCGTGTTGTGGGCGCGGGCTTGGGTGTCGGGAGTCCTCGACGCAAGTAGACCAGCAGCGGCGGCAGGGTTGCCTTGTTTGGGACACGACCCGGGTGTGCCGAGCGCGGGTGCAGCGGCAGCGGCAGCGGCAGCCTTGGCCAACAAAGCGAGTTCCGTCGCAGGGGTGGAGGGTGTGGCCGGGGACCCAGGTGCTGTCGGAGGCGGTGGCACGGCACGACAGCCGCCGGTGAGTCCGGCGGAACTGGCACCTGAGAGACGCACAAATGCCGCAGCGCTTGATAGATCACCTTCGTCACGTGCCGGCGGCTGCTTGCCGTCTGGCGGCGTGTCTTCGCGTGGCCTCTCCCCTGGTTGAGCATCGCTGCTGCTCCGAGCGGTTGCGACCTCGGCAGGCATCTCTTACGTCGGAGCATCGGAAACAGCGCCAAAATTAGCAACAGCACAATCAGCACTACAACCAGCACCGCCAACGCCAGCGCCAACAGCATCAGCACTCGCTGTCGTGGCGGCCCCTTGATTACCTCTGCTTCGTTCTCCAACCGAAACTGGGGCAGATTCAGCTGCGCCGCTTTCTGCGCCGATTGGTCCATGCCCGTCCGCGAGTGGGTCGATCCCTTCTACTCTCTCGGCCGCGGTGTACGTTGCCGATGCAGTCGCCGGTGCCGCCGCCGACAGATGAACCATGCCCGCCGCTGCTGCCGTTGCCGCCGCCGAAGCGGCGGTAGTTTTGGGGGGGCTGGAGGCGTCAGTTTGCGTGGCCCACTGAGAAATACAAACGGATATATGGCGAACAAGAGAGACATCAAAAACAACGTAAACTGGTTTTGTTCTGGTTTGGTTTGGTTGAACGGAATGACGGTCGACGCAAAATACCAACGCAGTTCAACCCGTGAGAGACTGCTCGTAGACAACCTAACGACTGACGAATGATAATCCCAAAAAGCATGACGCTGACTGCTGTCGTCCTATGAGACCGCTCCTCTCCTGCGATGGCTTGTCAGGCTCCGCCTGGTCAAACCGTTACCCCTGATAGACACATTCACCCTACCAATACCTTCTCGCCACACCCACCAATTCCTGGTAGCTCAGCATCCCTGCCAGTTTGTGTCTGGCGCAAAAACGTCTCGTCCGCTGCCCCATATCGCCGAAGCTGGCCGAGTAGTTGCACCCTTCAGCCTCGCACTGCGTCGGCGTGTTGTCCACCATGCCTTCCTGCCAAACAGAAGAACAAACAAGAAAATACAAGGTATCTACGTACCACGACAACAACGGGGGGGGGCAGAAAGAAATTACAGCGACAGTTGCTGTGGAAGAGGCGGGATTAGCATCCAGCTGGCAAAGAGCCGCGAAGTTGCTCGTACAAGCGACGAAAATCGAGACAAAAATATCGGCAATTAACCCCCGATAGACGCCGTCGTAGATTAGCCACCGAACGCCTCTGATGTCGACGTCACCCCTCCACCTGCTCGTGCCAAAGAAGGAGGAAATCGCCAAAGAATGGTCTCTACTCGGTGCTGCACCGCGATTTGATTCGCGCTGCCGCTGCACGAAAACGCGCGTACGTACATCGGAACACATTCCCAACTGCTCTACACCTCCACAAGGCCAACCTCGCAAAAAACAAAAAAATAACGCACATACTAGGTACAAACAGACGCACGCACACACTTGAGGGCGTGTTCAGGTTTGTTGTCCCGTAAAAAGACCGTCGTCTTTTCAATTGACCAGCGATCACGCGCGGCCAAAGGTACTCCAAAAACACATACACGCACTAAATAGACCTCCGCAGTCTCGTGTCGGTGGGGAGCGCCGACCAGATTTCGTGCTCGCTTTTTCTCGCCCCGCTGCAAGACCTATCGGTCAGCTGGTAGGCGCGGTAGGTAGGTAGAACTCTCTGGACCGGGACCGGCACGTGTTGGTGGCACCGGCGAGGCTGAGGCTGTGTCATATATTATATGTTCCCCCGCCGGTACACCATCAGACGAAGAAGAAACAAACGCACACACCTCTTTGTGGTCATCGCAGAAAGATCCTCCGCGAGTGACCCCGGGGTAGTTGAACGCTCCGGGCGCGGCGCACCCGCGAAAGCGGCACCTTCTCCCCGCGTTGTAGACCATGCCCTCGAGCGCGTGCGGCTTGCAGCACTCGCGCGACTTGCACGAAAACCCGTAGCTCGGGGTCTTTTCGCACCCTGGGTGCCTGCACGTCTTTGTGCGCACCTGCTCCTCGCCGCCGAGGGAAAAAAAAGGGGATATGTCGGAAGAACCGCAAATCGCACACCGGTACCTGTGCATAGCAGGATGATTGGTGTTGTCTTGGTGGGTGGAAATTACACGCTGGCGCGGGTAGCTTGAGCAGAATACAAAGGTGAAACGAGGGGAGCGTAGCGCGGGGCGCTAGCTGGGGGGAGGGGGGGCTCCACAATGGCAAGACGAGCTCTTGGTGAGAAAATACTAGTCCCAGCTTCACCCCCACGGTAAGCACACTCAGACGTGCCGATGTTCTCCGATACTGCCACACTGCACAGCCCGGCCTCTGACGCCACCTGGCCCTACGCCGCGCAGCAAATTGCAACGCCGACCACGCCGAAGAACCTGCTGTAAAGCCACACCTGCACCATGCCCGCTCCTTTGTGCAGCGTGCAAAGGATAGGCTTCCCGCCCTTCACCCCGAATGACGACTGCCGGTCGCAACCCCCGCCCTCAACCTGGCAGATGTTGTTCCTCGGCCGCATCTCGGGCTCGCAGTGCTCCAGGCATCGCAATTTTCCGGCCGATTCGTACGATGCTCGCTCGGGGCACCGCCCCGAATCCGCATCGCAGTACTTGTAGTACACGTTCTGCATACCCGGCCACGCGTGGCGCTTGCATAAGCGCCGCCGTGTCTGACCCCGGTGCGCAAACGACGAGGTCTTGTTGCACAGCGGGCTCTCGCAGGTCAGCAAGGCGCCGGTGCTCTTTTTACCGTTCATAGCCTTGCTCTTTCCACCACCGCGTGATGGGTTTGTCTTGGTCGCCCTCGCAGCTACGGCTTCCTCGTTGACCCGTCCCGCCGCTCCTGCCGCGGCCATAGAAGTCATCGTGAAAGCCACCCGGGAGGTTGCTGCTGGACATTGCTGCTGGAAACGCCGTTGCCCAGCGCGGAGGGACATCCTCTGGTTTTCCCTTGCTGGCTTCGTCACCGGCAGGGCCCGGCTGCCCCTTGACACCGCCACTACCCTGCTGCCCCGGTTGTCGTGCGTAGCGGCCGGGCGGGCTAGCGGGTGGGGGAGTGAGGTGGGTTGTAGGTGCATGAGGACGCGGGGAGTCACCACCGCTCCAAGGGAGAACCAGATGGAGTTTCAGGTAAATGTGTACCTAGTTTCCAAGAGCAGCTGCGTTTTGAGACGATAGGACATGCACGCGTAGCTCTGGAGCATTAGACTGGGGGACAGAGGGACAAATCATGGACGGCAGGGACATTGGGAGAGCAAGAAGTCAGAAACGCGAGAAAAGTACCAACCACTGGAGTGGCATTCGTTCAGACTGGTAAGTTTGTTAAGACGCCAGGCTGTCTGTTGATGGAGCCAGCATGAAGTATCAGTGCTACATACAGTATCACCAATTCCCTGCGCCCTATAAGTGCGGCACCATTGCGCGGTAGTTCTTACAGGCAAGGTATCAAATCAAATAGTTGTAATTCTTTACAGGCGATGCTGACACCCCCCCCTAGTTTCTACTACACAACTTCGACCCCTGCAGGTATGCGGTAGTGATGTCACACGCCCTTGGTTATCACACCCCCTTCTTGGCTTCTTGGCACCCGCGACATGCCCGACAGTACATCACCAGGTCTACACAACAGCACACCCCCGTTGTAGCTGCGGCCTTTCTAGAGTGGGCGTGCCCATAACAAAACGTATCTACATGGTGGGTTGTTTTTTACCCCCAACCAAGTCTGTGCACGAAAAAAGCAGGATTTACTTACCTTGCGTTCATCCGGGGCCTTGACAGGGTCAACTATTGATGTGTAGCGCACAACACAGCGACAGTAGCCCCTCCGNAGGCGTGCCCAAAACAAACGTATCTACATGGTGGGTTGTTTTTTACCCCCAACCAAGTCTGTGCANCCCTTCTTGGCTTCTTGGCACCCGCGACATGCCCGACAGACAGTACATCACCAGGTCTACACAACAGCACACCCCCGTTGTAGCTGCGGCCTTTCTAGAGTAGGCGTGCCCAAAACAAACGTATCTACATGGTGGGTTGTTTTTTACCCCCAACCAAGTCTGTGCACGAAAAAAGCAGGATTTACTTACCTTGCGTTCATCCGGGGCCTTGACAGGGTCAACTATTGATGTGTAGCGCACAACACAGCGACAGTAGCCCCTCCAGCGCACGGAACCGCAATGGTTGTGCTGTGAACGAGACAGCAGTGTGGGTGGGGTCTACGCGATGGTCAGATAGGGTAGGGGGGAGCCGTACATGTGAACCACAGCCACATTTCTGCTTTGGTTATTGCTCAAGAATTCTGGAATTATTTTTCTACCCTATGCCGAGGTTAATCGGGAAAACGTACTCCGTGTTGACCTAAAAAAATACATACCCCATCTCATCGTGGGTACCATTCTTCTACACGTCTCACGGTATTCTCCTAATTTTTACGGACTCTGCCAACCTGGCATAAAAGTAACCCCCGCCCAGCGGAGGCTACTTGACTCTCATTCTCCATTTCGCAGGCAGAGGCCGTTGCTTACTTTTCCTTCTCCCTTCTGCGCTAGAGCCCTTGACACCTCTTTGGCGCCCTCCGCCCCCGTATCCCTGACATACACCATGAACGCCTGTGACTTCCACCTGCCGGCGTGTTGGATTTGCAACGCCGACAGGCCCTGCGCTGCCATCTGAGTTGCAGCGCCGATCCTTCCCGAGTGCAACGCGAAGTGTGCAGGGTTCAAGCCAATGCTTTCCACCATCACTCTCAACGCTGCTACCCCTTCGGTTCTAGTAATCACTCGCCAACCGCTCGGCGTCTGCCTGGTCAGCAGAGGTGCATTTCCCGGGAGTTCGGGGTGCACGTCCAGGATAGCCACCACCGCCTCGAACGCGCCTACCGGTACCTCCCCGTCGGGTCCTAGTGGGCTACGCCCGCGGGTGATTGAACGACCATCTCTGTTCTGATCCCCTTTCGATGCAATGAAATCCACCTGCACGGAATCAGCCAGGGCTCGGTCCTCTATGCCCACCCGCTCTGTTCCCCGGTAGAAAGTCAGACTGTTGCGTGTCAGGCAGAATTCCGGGTGCACTAACCCGTCCGCGTACGCGAATAATTCGGACGCACGGCAAAGCAGAAAATAGGTCAAGGCTAGACCCAGCCACATCACTCGCCCTCCTTCCTTGAA